TCCGGTGAAACTTCCGGCGAGTATAACTCTCAACTCCGACGACTTCACACCAAATTGACAACACCACTGCGTTCTCCTCACTCAGAGCAACAGAATAGGACGAAATATTTTGAGAAATGGTGAATAAATGGTTAAGCTTTGGTAGTCTTATATAGGAAGGAGATGGGGAAAACTTCCAAGCCTGCTGTATCATTCCAATCGGCGTATCCTTGTAGTGGAGGAGGAGGCGCAGTCTCTACAGTGTCCCTGATTGGGACCAATTTCGGTTCCAATCGGGGTACACTTTTTGGTCCAACGTTCTTTGAATTGAAATCCGTTTGCATCTTTGCGATCAGACAGTCGAATTCTATCCAACTATATAATTTTTATATTTATTTGAAATACTTTTTCCGACATCATATTTTTGAGTGTTTGACTTTGACAGAGTCAAAATTGGTTTATTTGACCTTTATTCAAAAAGGTTCTCACATTTAATTCATATCATTTGTTCTCATGATTTATTTCAATAAATCATTTTAAAGTTCATATTATAAATAATTTCTTCAGTTCATATTATAAATAATTTCTTCATTTATTTTTGATTTGGGTCTGTACTCAGGTTCCCAATCAAGACCACACAATTTGTCAACATATTCGATTTATCTCTTTGAGACTTATCTAGATTTTGATATTGGAAATTAAAACATATTTCATATCGGCCCAAAGCCCAACAATAATTTATTTTAATCAAAACAAATTTGATTAATTGAATTATTCATTAATAATTTTAGGGTATGTTTTGGGGCGTTACACTATAATCAAGAAGAAGGCATTGATTTCGAAGAAACTTATGCAATCGTAGCACGTTTAGAAGCTATTCGTTTATTTCTTGCTTTTGCTTCGTCTATGGATTTTAAACTTTATCAAATTGATGTTAAGAGTGCCTTCCTCAATGGTTTTATTCAAGAGGAAGTGTACGTCGACCAGCCCCTAGGGTTTGAAGACTTTGAGTACCCCGACCACGTCTTCAAACTCAAAACAGCGCTCTACGGTCTTAAACAAGCACCCCGTGCTTGGTACGAACGCTTGAGTAGAGTTCTTTTGGACAGTGGGTTCCATAGGGGAAAGGTTGACACTACACTTTTTATCAAGAGTAAAAACAATAACATCCTTTTGGTTCAAGTCTATGTACACGATATCATATTCCGTGCTACCAACGAGTCTTTGTGCAAGGAATTTTCAAAGTTAATGACAAGCGAGTTTGAAATGTCAATGATGGGCGAGCTCACGTTCTTTTTGGGACTCCATGTCAAGCAAATGAAAGATGGCACTTTCATTTGCCAAAATAAATATTGCAAGGAGCTCCTAAAATGGTTTGAAATGGACAACGCCAAAGCCATGGCGACCCCGATGAGCACGTCCGACCATCTAGACAAAGACGAGAAAGGTAAGGAAGTAGAAGTCAAAAAGTATCGAGGTATGATCGGATCCCTTCTCTATCTTATCGCTAGTAGGCCGGATATCATGTTTAGCGTATGCCTTTGCGCAAGGTACCAATCATGTCTGAAGGAATCACACTTAACAGCGGTGAAACGGATCATGAAATACCTTGTTGGCAAGGTTAACGTTAGACTGTGGTATCCAAAAGGCTCTTCGTGTCATCTCGTTGGTTATTCCGACTCGGACTTTGCCAGTTTCAAATTGGACCGTAAAAGTACGAGTGGGACTTGCCACTTACTTGGTAGCTCCTTAGTTTCATGGTTTAGTAAGAAACAAGTCAGTGTTGCGTTATCCACAACCGAAGCAGAATACGTTTCCGTCGGTAGTTGTTGTGCTCAAATCCTTTGGATGAAGCAACAACTCGTGGAGTATGGCCTTAGTATCAGTCACGTTCCACTTCGTTGTGATAATACTAGCGCCATAAGCTTGACGAAGAACCCCGTTCTTCATTCAAGGACGAAACACATTGATATTAGGCACCATTTCATTAGAGATCATGTTCTCAAAGGTGATGTCGAAATTGAGTTTGTTGAAACACACAACCAATTAGCCGACATTTTCACAAAACCTTTAGAGAAAGAGTCGTTCTTCCGCATTTGTAGTGAACTCGGAATCCTTGACTCCACGATGATCTAATTTGTGCATTTTATCACTCTTTGTTTGAACATTTACTAACTTGAGCGTCGGAGGGTTTTCTAACTCTTTTTTACAGGGACGGTTCGAGGTGAAGGAATCCGGAAGTCAGGGGGAACCAGCGATGGGTGGGTTATACCATCGCTGGGAGGGAAGTCTTCATTTTTTTCAGAACCCTCTTCCGATCGATGGGTACTTTCTCCCATCGATGGGTGTTTGACTCTATTTTTTTAAAATTTCTTAACAGATTTTCCAGAAACCCTTTACCCATCGCTGGGTGAATGACTTGTGTTTTAAAATTTTTTTCCAGAACCTCCCCACCCATCGATGGGTACTTCCTCCCATCGCTGGGTGTTTGACACTATTTTTTTAAAGATTTTTTATCGGTTTCCAAAACCCACCTTCCCATCGATGGGAGAATCTTAACATCGCTGGGAAGGCCATGTTCTTTTCTTCGTCAATTTTCAGAAGCCACCTTCCCATCAATGGGAAGATCCTCCCATCGCTGGGAAGGCTGGTGCATTTCAAAAATTCAGAGCCGTTGGGCACAACATTAATTGCCCAACAACCATATTTTTGAATCCAAACGGCCAAATCCTCCATTCCCTATATATTTCCATCATATTTGTTCATTCTAATACACCATTAACATCATACTTTCATTCTTTCATCCAAATCTACATAGTTGATCTCTCTTTCTGCAAAAGCATCTCCACTATGGCCGGAGGGAAGAAGACGAAGGCTTCCAAGAAGAAAAGCACCGTCGAAGCCTCAAGCTCTGCGCCTAAACCATTCCCCTATCTCGATGGATCCTTCTTGGAGTTTGGGTCGGAGGAGGAACTCACCCAGTTCCTCACGCACTTTGCCAAGCGTCCTATTTCTCCGCCTAAGGTGCTGCCCGAGTTATACCCTCAACAAAAGGGGTACCACGACCTCGACAATCAACTTCAAGCGTCGGGTCTGTGGTCGTTCGTCTCCAGGAGCCGTCAATCCTACAATCCCGCCTTTGTCCGGGCCTTCTACTCCAATCTCTGCCGTGACGGGGACACCATCCGCAGCAGCATCAATCTCTATGACATAGAGATTGATTTGCCTACCTTTGCTCGGGTCGCAGGGCTGCCCATCCGCGGTGACGACATCGCGACATATGGTGGTGACGATTGGATCCTCAACAACGAGGCAGTCGTCATTCGTGAGCTTGGGATCACCAACTTGATCCGCCACAGCGGCGCACCGACGATTCACTCAGCCCCACCGGACAAGCGCCTCCTCCTCTACATCATCACCCGGATTCTTCGCCCCCGAGACAGCAGCCATACCTCGCTCTTCAACGAGGATTTGAAGGCGATTCATGCAATCATCCACGGCGCCTCCATCAATTGGGAAAAATTTGTCATGATACACATGGCGGATTGCGCCTCACTCTCCACCGAGCGGAGCTTGCCGTACGCCTTCCTCATCATGGACATCATCGTCTCCGCCGATATCCACATCGCCGGGCCAGACACGAAGATGACGAAGCTTTGGATGATCGCCGACACCACCTTCCGAAAGAAGTCTGGAAACAGAGACGGCGCAGGCCCAAGTCGTGCACCAGCCCTCGCTCCCGCCAAGGCCTCTTTGCAATCCATAGCCGATACCCTGAATCGGCAAACCCTCACAGTGGATGGCATGGGGCAGTCAATCGAGCAGATGGACTGGACGTTGCAACGCCAACACCACGACATGATGGCATACTTCCGTGGCGTCAACTATGTTCCGCCACCTTTCGACAGCACCATTCTCGGCCAAAACTTTGAAGGCGAGGATGAGGACGACGACTCCAACGCTCCGTCCTCCTCCCCCGACGAGGCCGACTTTGAAGATGCGGTCGACAGTGATCCTATGGACGTCGAGGACGACGAGGATGCCGACACCGACTCCTAGAATCTTCTTTCTTTTAATATGATTGTATTTTTTTTAATTATTTCCATTCCGTTGTATTCCGCATTTCCCTTTTAATGAATAAAAATTACTTTTAAATCTTTTTGTTAATGTCAAAAGAGGGAAGATATAAAAGTTATGCATTAATTGAGGAGGAATTTTTTTTCTCAAACACTTTGTTAAAAATAATATTATATTTATTAAGGGGGAACAATTTTTTAAATCCTCCTATGCATAACCTCGTCTTGTTTGCCATTATCAAAAAGGGGGAAATTGTTGAAACACGGGTTTGTCACGTTTTTGTACTAAAGCCGTGTTCGTCTTTATGACAGGTTTTGATAATGCCAAACCGCCGAGAACGAGACAAGTCATTGAATATACAAGGCGAAGAAAGAAGATAAGAACAAGAGCTAAAAGAAGACCAAGAACGAAGACCGTAGTCTTAGTATTGTTGAGTCGGTCACAATTGTGATCAAGACCGACCCAAACCTCACGCCTTGGCTCTTTAGGCTAAAATATATTTTTGCATTTATAATATCATAAAAATGTTTTTCAAACTTGTTCAAGACATTAAAAACACTTGGTGTTCGCCCAAACCAAAAACCAAGCCATCCGGCGTTCGGCTTTTAGAAACCGGCGTTCGACATTCGGTTTTCGGTGTTGGTTTTTGGCATCCGAACCATCCAAGTGGTTTTCAACATTTTATGATTGGTTTTTACTTTTTGGCATGTTTAAACAGTTCTCCAACAAAAACATCTTAAAAACCACCTTTCGGTTTTGGTCGTTTGGCAAAAACCACGTAAAACGGCATAAACTTGGCTAGCCATGGTTTTTACCCAAATGACATGGTTTTTAAAATGTCTCACTTGATTTCTTAGCCAAATACATCAAATAGGTGTTTTAAGCACCTGGTTTTTATTTTGGAGAACTTTGGATTTTTCGGTCGGTTTTTGCATCGGTTGGCTAGGCCGCGGTTAAGGCAAAAACCATGGGTTTTTGACTAACCACTTACCCAGCGATGGGAAAAACTACCCATCGATGGGTAAGCTGTCCTTTAACCCAACCAAGTTCCAGAACCATGCCAAACATCGATGGGAAGTTCTACCCATCGCTGTTAAAACCTTGGTCCAACATCAACACAAGGCAGAACGACCTTACCCAGCGATGGGGAACGTATCCCATCGATGGGAACCCAGCAATGGTATGTGTAAACCATCGATGGGAAGGCATGACCGTTGGAAGTCATTTAAGGTTGATTCTTTCCTTATTTGGAAGTCAACCTCCCACCCAGCGATGGGAAGATTGTACCCATCGATGGGTAGGTGACCGTTGGCTTCAAAACTGAAGGAAAATTGGCCTACCAGCGATGGGTAAAGTCCATACATCGCTGGGAAGCCAATATCCTGCAGATCCACAATTTATTCAATCCCATAAATCAAGCCAATCACCCCTTTAATGTATTGGTCCGTTGGAGCCTATTTTGGCACTATAAAAAGGGGTGTTTGGGTCTGCTTTTCTCATCAATTCACTTCACAATTTTCCTACTTTCATTGCATTCAAACAACATCTATTTCCATAGCTTTTTAGAGCCAATACGTGTGAAGTTTGAGTTGTTCTTGAGCGTACTTAGTTTACTCATTATCTACTCTATAAGAGAGTCTCGTTCTTGAGTGTATTTGTGTTCCTAGACACGTTGAGAGAAAGTATTTCTCTCGGTTGATTCAAAGGAAGGGTTGTTTCCTTTGAAGGATTCGTTGAGGTTCATGTGACTCGAACTCTCAAGTTGTAAGGGTTTGTTAAGCACCGTTAAGCTTAACGAGATAGTAGTGTAGCTCGAGAGAGTCTCTCGGGAGGCTGGATTAGCCACAAGTTGTGGTGAACCAGGGTAAAATCGGTGTGCCTCTTACTCTTCTCTTTACATCTCTTTTAAATTTTTTAATTCCTGCGATTTCTACGATCAAACGCTATTCACCCCCCCTCTAGCGTTGGTCTATTATTCTAACAAAGGACCTCACATAGACAGTCAGGAAATCAAAGAGAATACAAGAAAAGACACAAACATTCAGTTCCTCATCCAGTGTTTCTCAATGAACCTACTCTTTTGGAACATCTGTGGCCTAAGCTCCAAATCTCAAAGACTGGCCAACCTTATCCACACTCATAAAATTACCTTTTGTGCCATCATTGAACCAAAACTGGATCCTGTAAAATCAACCAGTATCAATTCATGTTTGGTTTTACCCACTCATTCCACTCAAAAGATAACAGAATATGGATCATGTGGCAAGACTCTCAACTTACCTACATTACCCACTCTGACCAATCCCAAACAATCCACACCAATTTCACCCTCAACAATAACCCTATCCTCATTACTACTGTTTATGGCAAATTCTCCACTACTGACAGAAAACCTTTGTGGGATGATCTGCATACAACTAGCCAATCCACTAATTCCCCCTGGATTATTGGTGGTGACTTCAACATCATCTCTTCCCTTGATCATCACAAAGGCAATAACAGGCCTTGCCTTAATAGTATTCAGGACTTTGATCTCTGCATTATCAACAGCTGCCTCATCTCCCCTCCCTTCTCTGGAAGCCCCTTCACCTGGTCTGGTGTTAGATCCCTGGGCAGGTTGTGGAGAAGACTTGACAGAATTTTCATAAACACCACTTACTCCAACCTTTTTCCAAACACTTCAACTGAACACCTACCCAAAGCCAGTTTAGACCACAATCCAATTCTGGTAAAATCCTCCAACTCAACTTACCAGGGGCCGAGACCATTCAGATACATCAATTGCTAGAGCTCCCATCCCTCATACAAAGAGACAATAAGGTCTGCCTGGGGTAGATACACTGGAGGTGGCATGCAAGGTCTAAGCAATAAGCTTCTCAATCTGAGGAAAGTCCTTCAAGCATGGAACAAATCTACATTTGGAAATATCATTAGCAAAGTCAACCTTTTGGAGGATGAGCTCGAAAAGACTGAAATGGAATATGATGAAAACTCCAACATTGATAACAGAATCCTAATGAACAAAGCCAGAGCAAACCTTATTCAAGCCAACTCTCACCATTACGAGTACTGGAAGCAAAAAGCAAACATTAAATGGTTGAAGATACCTCCACTTTGGACTCCCAATTTCTGGATAACATCCCTATCCTTATAACCCATGAAGATAACTCCAATCTTACTGCCCTTCCTAATGTGGATGAAGTCAAAAGTGCAATCTGGTCCATGAATCCTGACAGTGCAGCCGGACCAGATGGTTTTAATGGAAACTTCTATAAAACTAATTGGGACTGCATTAAGGAAGATTGCACCAAGGCTTTCTAAGAGTTCTTCCTTGGAATCCCCATTCCTAAGGATCATGCCAAAACCACTATCATACTCATAGCCAAGAAAGAAAACCCCTCCAGCTCTTATGACTTCAGACCCATCTCTCTAGCCAATTTTTGCACAAAAATCTCCTCCAAACATTTAGCCACCAGGCTTGGGAGGATCCTACCCAAACTCATATCCCAAGAACAAGGAGGATTCGTCAAGGGCAGATTCATCCATGATCAGATTCTCATAGCCCAAGAAATGATCCCAGGGCTAGACTACAAGAGATGGGGAGGGAATCTAGCCATTAAACTGGACATGTCTAAGGCATTTGACAAGGTATCCTGGCAATATCTAATGGAGGTCCTTAACAAATTTGGTTTTAGCCCCAGATTCAGGCATCTAATCATGAACATGCTCAAATCCACTCACATCTCCGTCATGGTCAATGGGATCCCAACCAAGAGCTTCAAACCTAAACGAGGACTAAAACAGGGAGACCCACTCTCACCTCTGCTTTTTATCCTAGCTTCTGAAGGTTTTAGCAGAACCCTCAACAATCAAATTCAAAATGGTCACATTACCCCTTACTCCCTGGGCAGACACTCCTTAACTGTCTCTCACCTTGCATTCGCTGATGATTTGATTCTATTAATTGAACGCAGCTCCCAAAATCTCCATAAAGTCAAAAATCTACTCAAGGACTGTGAACAAACCTCCGGGCAGCAAATAAACCTCTGCAAAAGTACCTTCATCCCTCCCAAAAAGGCCAGCACAGCATACATCTCTAGGGCCAGGAAGATTCTGGGAATGAGAAATGGCCACCTGCCCTTCAAATACCTTGGGGTTCAAATTCATAAAGGAATCAATAGGAAGGAATATTGCAGCGACCTAATTGCTTACTTTGATAACAAACTCCAAGGCTGGCACAAAAATTCCTTAGCCAGAGTGGTAGATTGATCCTTATAAAGCACGTCTTTAGTGCCATACCACTTCATATCATGGGTTGCAGCAAACTACCAAAAAGTGTTATTACTCTCCTTGAATCCAAAATGAACACCTTCCTTTGGGGTAATAACTCGGAGAAGAATAAATATCATTGGTCTTCATGGAATAAGATTTGCCTACCAAAAGAGGAAGGAGGACTAGGATGTTATAGCCTTCACACAATTCAGGAAGCATACGGTCTCAAAATGTGGTGGTCCTATCAATGCAATAATTCCTACTGGGCAAAATTCATGCGGAAGAGATACCCAAGAGAGCTTGACACCCCTCTAAAAGCAACTGACTCTCCTATCTGGAAACGCCTAAGTCACAGCAATGAGATTGCCAATAACAAAGCCTATATTGACAACGGAAAACTCATTTGGTTCACTGGAGAGGAGGGGTTTACCATGCAGAAGGCTAAGAATTCCCTGAGAGAGAAACTTCCCCAACATCCATTCATGGCAATGGCAAACTTTAAAAACCAATCTCCTAAGATCTCAATGTTTCTATGGAGACTCTGTTTTGGTTATCTCCCTTTCCCCAATAAACTGACAAGGATGGGATTTCATCTCCCCTCAATTTGTTTATTTTGCAGGAACCAAGAGGAAACTGACAATCATGCTCTTCTTCAGTGTAGCTACAGCAAACAAATCTGGTACTACTTCGAAGCTTACTTCCATACTGGAGGGGCAATCAACCATGGTATCAGAAGCTACCTCACAGACTGGTGGAAAGAAGGAAGACTTGGGAAACATGATAGACATCTGCGCAACATCGTTCCTGGCATCATTGCACACGAGCTTTGGAAGGAGCGGAATAGACGATTTTTCCAGAATGAAGAGAAAACTGAAACCCAAATAATCTCCCATATCACAAACAAAACGTATGAATGGATTGCAAGCATATCAAAAAGAAAAATTTTTATATTTGGAATCAAGCTCCCCACAACAACCCCCCTGGCAATTAAGATCTTCAACTGGGAACCGCCAACAAGAGGAATCGTGATTTCCACAGACGTAGCCATTGGACGCACAACAGCAACTGGAGCGGCAATCATTAGAACTAGAAAAGGAGAATTCTTAGGCGCCTGGACAACAAGACTGGAGGGCATAAAGACGCCAGGCGATGGAGAACTACAAGCGGCATTATTTGGGGTAAGACGCACAACACACCTCAACACACCTATTAACTTACGCATTGACTCCAAATACTGCGTACAAAAAATTCAAGATCCACACAATGAAAATGCTGATTGCACCACAGTCAGAGCTATTATAGCAACATCAGGGGGACAAGTTTGCCACATTCACAGAGAAGAAAACACAGCTGCCCACAACCTAGCCCAACATGCAATTAAGTTTTGCTCATATACTTACTACTCTCATTTCAGTACTTTACCCCGCAATGTTAGGGGTGCAATTTTATGTGATGTAACAACTGCTTTTATCCGAATAAAATAACTAAATATTCTCCCATATATATATATATATATATATATATATATATTAAACAAATAGAGGAGTTCTATGGATTAGTGGAAACGAAAAGAGGGGTTACAGTCTTGCAACAAAATAGTTCTGACATCTCTAGGGCACAAATGGAAATGAGCATAATCTTTAACACTAGAGGTGAGATGTAAGTCAGCCTTAGCAAGGGCGTCCGCTGCGTTGTTGCCTTCTCGAGGGACATGGGAGGGCGTGATGTTGTTGTGGAAAATAAGATGGCCCAGGACATCTATAGAAAAGGTGGAAATGGAGTGGTGTGCTAACTTTGTCATTCTGGAGGTTATAGCCCAAGCATCCGTTTCGTAGAGGAAACTGGAGGAGAAAGTTGCTGCACGAATAAAGGTACCTTCGTGATCCCTGAGTATTGCCGCACCACGCTGTTGTGAAGGAGTGTATAAGGCATCTACATTGAGCTTGAGGCGACCCGTAGGTGGGCATTTCCATCTAACCATCCTGATGGGGTTATGTTTTTGAAATTTAGGGATCAAAATGGTGGGAAAGTGATGGATCATTAAGTTGCATTTTACGTGGAGCTTTGATGGAAATCCATTGTTTGGTGTATAGGGCAATTTGGTGAATGAGAGTAGGGATGTGGATTTCAGTGGCCTCACCTTTGGTAATGTCATTCAGTTTCTTCCAAATGTGCCATGTGATGATGGAAGGAAGGTGAAGTCTCAGGAAGCCATGTAGATTTGAAGTGCTACGCATCCACCAGTTCATGAAGTGTTGCATGAGGGAGTGGGTTTTAGCATGTGTGAAGTTGAGACATCTAGAAAAATGAATCCATATGGCAGCAATTTTTTCACAGTCCACAAAGCAATGTTTGGCTGTTAGGCTACTGGATTTGCAGAAGGGGCATATTGAAGGTAGAGCAAATCCAATCTTACGCAAGTTTTCAGGGATTGGGAGGCAGTTACGAAAGATCTTCCATGTGAAAATGCTGATCTTAAGGCTGTGATGAGAATCCCAGATACACCTATATGCATAGGATGGGCTTGATTTGGATATGCAGATCTCATAAGCACTTTTGAGAGTGAAAATCCCTGTTGAGTCCTCGTTCCAACTCATAGTGTCATCATGAATACTGCAATGGTTGCTAGCTTTAGTATTTATCTTAGAGATTCGACTCCAGGTTGGTGAATCAACCAAATGATAGTCCATGTCTCCATTGCGCATATATTTTGCTCTCACGAACCTGCACCAGAGGCTATCATTATGAGTGAACTTCCACCACAGTTTCATGTTGAACGCTTCTTCAAGGGCTTGGAAATTTCTGGTGCCAATCCCTCCTTCTTCTTTGGGTAAGGATAAAGTATCCCATGACAGCCAGTGGTGCTTCTTGCTATTACCACCCCACCAAAATCTAGCCATTTTTTGGTGGAGGATGTTGACTATGGATTTAGGCATAGTGTGGGTAGCAAGAAAATAGTTAGGGATAGTGTTGAGAACATGGTTGATGAGGATCAATCTTCCAGGTCTAGATGGTGTTGGTGCCAACCATTAAGTTTCCTATCAAATGCAGAGATGATGTTGGTGCAGTGGGACTTTCTTGTGA